TTGCAAAGCACAGCATGGCTGAGGCTTGTGGGCTGTGTCTGGGAAAATGAGCAGCCGACAGTGGCTGATGCTGCCCCTGACTGTGGGGCCGTGTGGTCTCTCGTTCCCTGAGAGCATCTCTTTATTCTCTTGTGTCTTCCCTCAGCCTGGCAGTCTCTGTGTACTCTCCAACACATAATTGAGCACGGCTGTTGCAGCCCCGGTGCCACCTGGCACTTTAGGTCAAATTAGAAAGGCATGACATAAACTGGTCCTTTATAATACAGCTGTTGGAACAGCAGTTGAGAATACAGTATCTTGACTCCTGGTTTAGTACTTTATGCTGAACTTTCTTTTCTGAATATGAGCACAGCCTTTGGAATGTTAGTGTCACCTAGCGTTATTAGCGAGTATTCTCCTTTTGTTTTCCCATAACATTCCCTCCTGCTTCCCACAGATCCACTCTCCACTCATTTCCATCCTGTCTTATGTCACTTTGTGCTTGTCCCTTCTAGAATGCATCCTTGGCTCCCCTGCATACACACTTCTAGTTAGGTTTAGCAATGGGGGGTACCTGATGGAGCCTGGAAGTGAGAGGAAGGTGAGGTCTGTATTTCTTCCCTCTCCCTCCCTGCTCTGGCACTGAGTATCTGGCAATAGCTGCATCTGTCTGTTACTTCAGTGGTCACTCTTCCATAGCCCCAATTCTCAGTGGGTCCCATAGCATTTGGGACCTTAGCTTTGTTCCTTTAGCTCCCATCAAGGAAGATCCAGAGACATTCTCCTCACCAAGGCATTAAGAAATGCACAGGTGAGGGGAACAGTGGCATGACTGTCAATTTCCTGTGGTACCTACTGTCTGCAAACTGGAGGTCATGGCGGGAGATGCTGCATGGATTTGCCCTGGCTGCTGTCAGTGAGAAGAACAGGGTTCTGGAAGTTTAGAGGACAGGCCGTGAGACTTGGCCATGTAGAGACAAGGCGGGAGGGATTTCCTTGAGAGGTAGGGATATGTGGTGGTTACTGATCATTGTGAGGTGTCTGGGAATGTAATGGATGGGAAATCTAGTAAGAAATGAACTTTTGTAATAATTAGAAAAGCTCTAGTTCTGAAG